CTCCCTTCTCCTCTCTCTCCCTTCTCCTCTCTCTCCCTTCTCCTCTCTCTCCCTTCTCCTCTCTCTCCCTTCTCCTCTCTCTCCCTTCTCCTCTCTCTCCCTTCTGCGAACCTCTCCCTTCTGCGAACCTCTCCCTCTGCGAACCTCTCCCTCTGCGAACCTCTCCCTCTGCGAACCTCTCCCAACCTTTCCCAACCTCTCCGAACATTTCCTCTCCCAACCTCTTCCAACCTCTCCTCTCCGAACCCCTCTGAACCAAACATCTCTGAACCGAACCTCTACAAACCTCTCCAAACCTCTTCTCTTCAAACCTCTCCGAAACAAAACCCTCCAAACCATTCCAAGCCTCTCCTCTTCAAATCTACCTCTCCACACCAAATCTCTCATCTCCGAACCGTTCCAAACCTCTCCTCTTCGAATCTCCTGACCAATCCAAACCTCTCCGAAACGAACCTCTCTGAACAGAACCTATCCAAACCTTTCTGAACCTCTCCAACCCTCTCCGAACCAAACCCAACCTCTCCGAACCTCTTCTAACCGAACGTCTACAAACCTCTGAACCTCTCCTCTCTGAACCTCTCCTCTCTGAACCTCTCCGAACCGAACCTCTCCTCTCCAAACCTCTCCGAACCGAACCTCTCCAAACGGAACCTCTCCAAACCTCTACAAACAGAACCTCTCCCAACCTCTCCGAACCGAACCTCTCCGAACCGAACCTCTCCGAACCGAACCTCTCCTCTCTGAACCTCTCCGAACCGAACCTCTACAAACCGAACCTCTGCAAACCTCTCCGAGTCGAACCTCTCCAAACCGAACCTCTCCAAACCTCTCCGAACCTCTCCAAACCTCTCCTCTCCAAACCGAACCTCTCCAAACNAAACCTCTCCGAACCGAGCCCCTCCAAACCTCTCCGAACCGAACCCCTCCAAACCGAACCACTCGAAACCTCTCCGAACCGAACCTCTGCAAACCGAACCTCTCCAAACCGAACCCATTCCGAACCTGTCCAAACTGAACCTCTCCACAGCAAACCTCTCCAAACGGAACCTCTCCAAACCTCTCCAAACTGAACCTCTCCGAACCTCTCCAAACCGAACCTCTCCGAACCTCTCCGAACCGAACCTCTCCAAACCGAACCTCTCCAAACCGAACCTCTCCAAACCTCTCCAAGCCGAAACCCTCAAAACCTCTCCGAACCGAACCTCCCCAAACCGAACCCCTCCAAACCTCTCCAAACCGAACCCCTCCAAACCTCTCCGAACCGAACCNAACCGAACCTCTCCAAACCTCTCCGAACCGAACCTCTCCAAACCTCTCTGAACCGAACCTCTCCAAAGCGAACCACTCGAAACCTCTCCGAACCGAACCTCTCCAAAGCGAACCACTCGAAACCTCTCCGAACCGAACCTCTCCAAATTTCTCCGAACTGAACCTTTCCAAACATCTCCGAACCGAACCTCTCCAAACCGAACCGAACCCCTCCGAACCTCTCCAAACCGAACCTCTCCAAACCTCTCCGAACCGAACCCCTCCAAACCGAACC